CCCTACACCTTAAATGTTTTGTTTATTCATGTCACCCATAGTACAATAATTAAAGGTATCCACATTTCAAAAACTATAAAGTTTCTGATACTTTTGCACTTTTTGCCCAAAAAACCGGTTCCCGTACTTAAAAAATGTGCCAAATGTTTTCTTATCTCCATGGTAGAAGAATATAGGTAGTCGCATCGACACAGTTGATGGGACAATGAACTGTCAAACCAATTATGCAATTGAAATTTTTGAATGAAAAATTATTTAAATTCGTTAAAATTTTTGAATAATGCAAATCATAACAACTTCCAATTGGCGTCATATAGGAAAACATATAAAAAATCTACTTATTTTGGAAGAAACAATTAATATTTTTTTGACACATCAATGTTTCCAAGCTTTGATGCACCTACCTGTATTCTACTTCTTCTATTTGTATGTTCATGTAGATATCAACAATTGTTGACAGTTTGATCTTAAAGAAGTACATGATGCATCAGCACTTGTAATGTCAAAAATATATTTAAAAAATCTTCAAAAAATGGGACTTTAACATATTTTCTTGTAGAACGTCTTTCAAAGCTTTGTATAAGAAAATATATAAAAATGTACTTATTTTTGACAAAACAGTTTTAAAATTTTGACATATCAATGTTCTATCATGCTTATCTCTAAACAAAAATGAAGCTCTCTTCTCCTATTTGTATGTTCATACAGGTATTAAAAAATTGTTGATAATTTGATCATAAAGAATTACATGAACGGAGCTATATTCAGGTTTGAAGAATAAAGGTCGGTGCGTCAGCACTTGTAATGTCAAAAATATATTAAAAAAAATTCAAAAAATGTGACTCTTACATATTTTCTTATAGAACGCCTTTCAAAGCTTTGTAACATATGTGTTTTCAACTAATTAAAATGCTCCTTCACTGAAGAATTTGAATTCAAAAAATGTTTTGACAGTTCATTGTGCCATCAGCTGTGGCGAGTGTGCTTCTTTTATTGTGTAATAATAGAAGAAGAATACAGGTAGATGCATTAATGCTTGGGAATATTGACATGTCAGAATTTTTAAAATGTTTTTGTTTTTTCTGAAACAAGACGCCAATCGGAGGTTGTTATGATATGCATTTTTAACAATTTTATCAAATTTGAATAATTTTTCTTTTAAAAATTTCAATTTCAAAATCAGTTTGACAGTTCATTGTGCCCGCAGCTTTTTTGATGCGACTACCTGTATTCCTCTACCATATCATTCTTCTTATATTTAACTGTGTAGAAAACAACATTGATATGTCAACAATATATTAAAAAATCTGCAAAAAATGTGACTTTTACATATTTTCCTATAGGACGCCTTTTAAGGCTTTGTAAAATGCTCTTTCAAAAGTACTTTGACAGTTCATTGTGCCATCAGCTGTGTCGATGGTGCTGCTTTTATTGTGCATAGACACAGCTGCTGGGACAATGAACTGTCAAACATATTTTACAATTGAAATTTTTGAATGAAAATTCAAATGTGTAAAAATAGCTGAAAAAAAAAAAAACGCATATTATAATAACCTCCGATTGACGTCGTATAAGAAAACATATAAAAATCTACTTTTATTTGAAAAAGTCATTTTACAATTTTTGACATATCAATTTCCAAGCGTTAATGCATCTACCTATATTCTTCTACCATGAATAATGGTTATATGTAACTGAATAGAAAACACGTTCCCATCTCTGATCAGTGAATGTACATTTTGACAATGAGATGCTGTCATGTTGGACAAAAATTAAAATGAGACATTAGTGACATTCAAATTTCCACCGTTTAACTTCTACTAATAATGCAAGAAGATTGTGGTGCATTTATCAGACATATTATACAATAATTATGACAAGTTTTATGTATGAATAATATGATTTAAGCTATTTTCACAACCACACCAACAAATGCCATATTCTGTCATAGAACCAGCCAAAAAGAATTAAAAATAGATATGATGAAAATTACGCGATATTTATTTTACGTCATTAAAAAAACGGAAAAAAAAATACCACAAATACCTCCCACAAAAAATTCCATCTTTCACATGGCCACCACCACTTTCCAAAAATAACAAATCAAAAACTGTCAATTATGTTTTCGTTTTTAGTCTTCCTTTTTGGAGGTTAATGACAGATGACAAATATTTTAAGAAAAACAAATGAACTTTCCAGGGTCTATTTATTCACACACACACACTTACGGACACATGACCCTGACAAAGTGTTCTAGCTGCTAGCTTGCTTTTAAATTTATTGGTATGCTTTATAAAGCTTAATAGAATGGAAATATTTAAAGCAAAATTGAAAACAACATGTTCACTGGTGTTGGTAAAAATAAACAACAACAAAAACATTCTTAGAAAGCTCTATTAGAAAAATTTGAAAGCTAAAATTTTGCACAGGTGCCCCCATGGTAGAAGAATATATTTAGGAAGACTTGTGAATATTGATATGTCAAAAATATTATCTTTTAAATATTTTCCGTTAAGAACCTCTTAAAATATTTTTTATAAATATGTAAATAATTTAAAAATGTTTTCATTAAAAAAATGATTTTTCAAAAATGTTTTGACAGTTCATTGTACCATCAGCTGTGTTGATGTTGTGTGTTATGTTGTCATGGTAACCCTGATTTGAAAGTAGCTGCATAATTTCAACAGAACTTTCCAATTTGTTTTCTTAGCGGATCGAAAAAGTTTATACAAAAAATGGAAGAATTCCACGCTTTGATCCTAGTTCAAGCTTTGTTTCAGCACCAAAAGGCATTCTTGGTAATTTAAAACATAATATGGAACACAGAAATCAAAAGCGGTCCCAGTAAACAACTTATAATAGACGGTAAAGTAATGCAATCACATGTTTAATTGTTTTTTTAATGGATATACACAAATCAGAGATGGGAACCTGTTTTTATGCAGTGAAATTTGAAAAGGTAAATTACAGAAAATACAGAGATGGAAATGTTTACTTGAAATTATTTTACCTTCTTCATTTTACCATGAAAGAACTTTTATTATTAATTAATTAAACTTGTGAAAAAGTAAACAAAAATGTATGAGGAATATTCAATCATAATCTTCGTAGAAGTATACAGGTAGTTGCATCAACGCAGCTGCTGGGACAATGAACTGTCAAACCAATTTTGTAATTGAAAGTTTTGAATGAAAAATTATTCAGATTGTTTAAAATTGTTGAAAAATGCGTATCAAAACAACTTCCGATTGGCATTGTATAAGAAAACTTATAAAATAACCTTATTTTTGACTTATCAATTTTCCTAAGGGTCGACACAGCTGCTGGGATAATGAACTGTCAAACCAATTTTGAAATTGAAAATGTTGAATGAAAAATAATTTAAATTTATAAAAATTGTTGACAACGCGAATTATAATAACCTCCGAATGACGTCGTATAAGAAAACATATAAAAATCTACTTACATTTAAATTTTTTGACATATCAATGCTCCCAAGCGTTGATGCGTCTACCTATATTCTTTAGCCATGATATAAACATAATCTAATACCAAGTTCACATTGCAAGCAATTCGCTACCTATTCGTTGTTCCACAGTTCATTACTAAAAATATAAATATAATTCACCACACAATCATATCTGAGGGGAAAAAATGTTTCCGCATTCTCTGAAAAACTATGAAATATGTCCCATCTCCAACAAATGACAGTATATTATCAATGTTCCCAAGCGTTGATGCATTCTTCACTAAAAACTTTATTATATAAAGTACAGTACACACATTTGATCATTTCAACAATAAGTAGTTTCTTCATTTAAAGTAGAGTACACACTGTTGATTACTTCATCCATAAGCTTTTTTCTCCAAGTAACCGCTTCCCTAACTTTCCTACAAAACAGTGACTTGCCGCATTTAAACTAGCGAACTGTAAATTCGGACATGTTATTATTAGGTCGTTATTAAATAACTTGGATATACTCCCAATTAAAGGTTAGAATACAAAAAACGCTTTTTTGGCCCGGTAATGTCATCAGCTGGAACCTTCGGAAAAGAACAAAGGTAGTACATCGAACTAAGTCAACCTATAACTCCTTTGTTAAAATGAAAAAAACGTAAAGCGCTTTTTTTGACTAGCTTAGGGCATACTTGGCCGGCTTTTTCGTAGATGAACAAAGGAGTTTTAGGTTGACTTAGATCGATTTTGGCCCTAGGATCCTTTGTTCATTTCCGAAGAAGCCAGCCGTTGACTTAAGCCAGACAAATATGCGCTTTATGTATTTCCACCCTTATTCGGCTTTGGCCTTAAATGTGCTTTTAATCCCTTTTAAATTGCAATCTATAAAGTACGGTGCACACTGTTGATCGGTTCATCCAAGTAAAGTAGAGTACAAACTGTTGATAACTTCATTTTTGAAGTAAAGTACACACTGTTGATCGTTTCATCCGTAAGTTGTTGCACACACTGTGGATAATATAAAATATCATTTTGATATATAATCCTGATTCAGGTAAGTTTTGAATTTGCCGCATTAATTTATACAAGACAATGTGATTACAGAAATTGTTGTAATTCTCTGTCATTGTTATTCCCATTTTTAGTGTTAACAAATTTTCGATTTCCTTTCCCCTTACCTTTCTCTCCTACAAAATAGTAACTTGTCGCATGTAAACTAGCCGACTGAAAATTTGGACATATATATTTAGATTACTTGTATACACTCGAAAATAAAGGTGAGAATACATAAAACGCTTTTTTGAATGACTTAAGTCATCGGTTGGCTTGTTTGGAAAAGAAGAGAGGTGAATAAGGGCAAAATCGAACTATGTCAACCTGAAATCCCTTTTTTCCTTACGAAGAAGCCAGCCGATGACTTAAACCACTCAAAAAAGCGTTTTATGTATTCTCACCTTTAATTGTGCACTTGGCCTAAATTGTAGTCTTTATAGCAAAGTTGTCTATAAATTAACTATTTTTTCCTTTTTTTGACAAACATTGTTTTATTAGTTGACCAGATCGTTTTTATTGAATTTTTCGTTTTTTTTTGGTTATTTTTATTAAATTTATAAAATTCGTATTAGTTATGTACTCGGTACTAAGTTATTAATAATATACAAACAATAAATACATACATACATAGTAAATAAATAAATAATAAATAAATATTTTTTTCTTTCTCATATTTGACTAAAACATCAACAATGTTGATATAACAAACAAAACATATACAACAAATTGCGGATTAACAAGCATGGAAGCTGCATCGGTACCAGCCTCTAATTGTGCGGCTACTTCACGGGCTGAGATATTGAAGGGTAAACTCTCAAAGGAGACAAAACAATCAAACGATTCTTCGCTCTCGGCATTGGAAGCAACAGCTGTTTGGGTAACATTGAAATAGGAATTTTCTCGTAGTACTGTCGATGGATTATCTTTGAGAATTATTGCCATGGGGTCATTGGATCTACAAAAAATTATACAGAAATATATTATTGAAAACCCAATATTGTTGACATTTGTAAATTTCAACATTTTTTTCTCTTAATACTTACACCATGTTAATAATGGGCTTGGGAAAAATATTATTGACAATACACTCTAAATGGGTTTCATTTTGTACTTTGCGTGCATGAAATTCGACTTCGTATTGCCTCAGGTCAACAATGTGTATCTCTTTTTCCACCGACTTATATTTATGACCGGCATTAACTGAACATTTGTAGGTGCCATTTAATTGTATACTGATATTGTTCAGCGTCAAACCACTATATTCATGGTCCGGGTCATCAGATATTTTCCGCAATTCAATGTAATCCCGAAGAACAGGCTGTAAATAGAATAAAATATTTTAATTAGAACAAGTACAATTTCAGTGGCTGTGTGAACATGGTATATGAATGTCAAAGGTGGTGAAATGCAACCATGGTAGAATTCGCATCGAAACAGCTGATGGGATGGAAAATTATTGAAATTTGTAAAAACTTTTGAAAAACGCATGTAATAATAACCTCCGAATGACGTCGTATAGGAAAACATATAAAAATCTACTTATATTTGAAAATACATTTAAAATTTTTTGACATATCAATGTTCCCAAGCGTTGATGCATCTACCTGTATTCTTCTACCATGCAAAGGTGGTGAAATTTACTCATGGTAGAAATCACATCGAAACAGCTGCTGGGACAATGAACTGTCAAATCGGTTTTTGGAATTGAAAATTAAAATGAAAAATTATTGAAATTTGTAAAAATTGTTGCGTCGTATAAGAAAACATATAACAATCTACTTATTTTTAACAAAACATTTTAATTTTTTTTATGAATGTTCCCATGCGTTGATGCATCTACCTGTATTCTTCTACCATGAATTCAAAGTAAGCTAAATATTGTCTAACAAAAAGTTTACTGCTTTATATAAATGAAATGAATGCTAAAATACGAATACTCACCAATACCGACGGCTGCTTCCCCCTAATCCATTGATAGATAAGATTGTTATTCATAAACCATTTCACCAATAAATATGGAACACTTTCGCTCAACTCATAGTCACAATCTAAGTCAATAGTTTTGTTGTCTGTATGTTTGTCTAATGTGACAAGTTCTGGGCCATCCAAATCGTTAATTTTGAGTCCGTGTATCACTACAAAAAACAAGAAGAAAGAAATAATACAAGTAAGAATTTATATACGATCAGGTGTTAGTTTATATTTAGACAAAACTTTTCTGCAGTACTTGAACTTAAAGGTGAGAATACATAAAAAGATTTTTGACTGGCTTAAGTCAGTGGCTGGCTTCATGGGAATAGAACAAATGAGCGTTGGCCAAAATCGAACTAAGTTAACCTACAACTACTTTGTTCCTATACGAAGAAGCAAGCCGATGACTTAATGTGAGAATATATGAAGTGCTTATTTGGCTGTCTTAAGTCACCGGCTGGCTTCTTCGGAAATGAATAAAGGAGCCTAGGACAAAAATCGAACTAAGTCAACCTAAAACTCCTTTGCTCCTCTACGAAGAAACCAGCCGATGACTTAAGCCAGCCAAATATGCGCTTTATGTATTTTCACCCTTAAACCAGCGGCTGGCTTCTTCCCACCTTAAAATTTTTCAAACTATTTTTTTGATATCTGAAATATTTACGTAAGTACATAAGTGATAAATAATATATCATTCCATGGTACGTAGAAACGTAGAAACACATAAAAAGCTTTTTTGACAGGCTTAAGTCATCGGCTGGCTTCTTCGTAGAGAAACAAAGGAGTTTTAGGTAGACTTAGGAATATTGATATGTCAAAATTTTTTAAATTTTTTGTCAAAAAAAGTAGATTTTTATATGTTTTCTTATATGACGCAAATCGGAGGTTGTTATGATTTGTATTTTTCAACAATTTTTACAAATTTCAATAATTTTTCATTCAAATTTTTCAATTTCAAAATCGGATTGACAGTTTATTGTCCTAGCAGCTGTGTCGATGCGACTACCTGTATTCTTCTACCATGGGTTTGTTTACATTCACAAGCATCGCCAACCGGTCGTCGGAAGATTTATTTCTGTATGGCAAATCTAATTGAATAAATCCTAATTAAGAAATAAATTCTGATTATTTGTAAAGGCTTGAATTCGCCGTGGCAACCTTTTTTACCTACAAAAAATCGGTGCTTAGTTTCTTATTAAAATAATAGTCAAAAATGATAGTGTGTACCCCACATTATAAAATTTTTTTAAACAATTCATGGTAGAATCAAGAAAAATGCGGAGATGGATAGTCTTTTTTGAATTGATTTTTCCTTATTTTTTTTACCATGGGTAGAAGAATACAAGTTGCAACAATTTTTCATTTAACATTTTCAATTCCAAAATCTGTTTGACAGTTAATTGTCCTAGCAGCTGTGTCGATGCGACTACTTGTATTCTTCTGCGATGGAACAATGCAAATAAAATGTTATGTTTACATACAATCTTTAATCGAGATTTAGCAACATTATTAGGATTTATTTTCGGCCTATAGCCAGTTTACAATTGAAAATGAAGCCACTGGAATTAACAGATGTAGTGGGTTAATATTTCGTGTTTAGTCGCACCCATGGTAGAAAAATACAGGTAGATGCATCAACGCTTTGGAGCATTGATATGTCAAAATTATTTTAGTTTCTTTTCAAATGTAAGTAGATTTTTATATGTTTTCTAATACAAAGTCGTGTGGAGGTTATTTTAATGCGTGTTTTTCAACGATTTTTAAAAATTTAAATAACTTTTCATTCAACATTTTCAATTCCAAAATTGGTTTGACAGTTCATTGTCCCAGCAGCTGCGTCGATGCGTCTACCTATATTCTTCTACCATGGTCGCACCACAAGAAAGATATAAATGCCGCTCAGCTGATGTTTGTTTACGTATGCATACATAACAAAAAGAGAATAAACAAACAAAATGAAGACAATTAATGTTGGAAAATAAGTGTTTTTTTCACTGATGACAAGGAAAATAAAGTATTTCACAATGTATTTCAACCTTCGATTGGCTTCATATAAGAAAACATATAAAAATCTGGCTGGATTAAAAAATTAAATTTTTGACATATCATTGTTGATGCGTTGATGCATCCACCTGTATTCTTCTACCATGGTTCGAATGCTAACTGTAAACAACGCCTTTTGCGGAAACGCATTCGAATTGTGAGTGTACCGCAGTACTAAGAATAAAGTCGTGAGAATATCTGTTAAATCTGGTTAGTTAAAAGTACGTTTAGACCTTATATGATTATGTTCTTTATTAATATATTCTTCTGATCCATGAAAATATTGTTCAGCATAATTTATTCACTTTCCCACCGATAGCAACATTGGAGAAAAACTTGAATTAAAACATCAATTGGTTCCATTTTTATACCCTCCACCATACTATGGAGGGTATATTAACTTTGTCATTCCGTTTGTAACTCCTCGAAATACTCATGTCAGACCCAACAAAGTATATATATTCTTGATCAGCGTAAAATTCTAAGTCGATTTAGCGATGTCCGTCTGTCTGTCTGTCCGTCTGTCTGTTGTAATCACGCTGTCTTTCGAATGAATTGAGATAGGTGGCTAAAATTTTGCACACATGTTTATTTTTTCAGTAGGCAGGTTAAGTTCGTAAATGGGCCATGTAGGTCCACGTTTTCAAATAGCCCCCATATAACGGTACCTCCCTATATTCGGTATTTTGATGATTTTAGCGACATTATTCACGGGAATTGTTTTAAATTTGGTATTTGAAGTTCAAAATGGATACTACACCCTAAGATGGAGAATTATCCGTGCAGGTCCACGTCTCCGTATAGCCCCCATATAACGGTACCTCCCTATATTCGGTATTTTGATGATTTTAGCGACATTATTCACCGGAATTGTTTTAAAATTGGTATTTGAAGTTCGTTATGGGAACTACAGTCTGTGACAATTGTCTGTGCGGGTCCCGGTCTTCGTATAGCCCCCATATATCGGTACCTCCCTACATTCGGTATTTTGATGATTTTAGCCACATTGTTCACCGTTTATTTCAAGTTTCGAATTTGAATATGGTAATGGCTTATGACCAACAATGCCTATGTATGTCCACGTCGTATAGACCCCAAAATAACGGCTATATTCGGTATTTTTAAAATTTTAACAGAATTTTTTAAGGATTTTATTTTTTGAAAATTTCCAAATTCGTTGCAAATGGTGGAGGGTATTAAAAGTTCTTCCCGGCCGAACTTACTGCTTTTTAACTTGTTAATTTTTAAACAATTAATTTTGCAATCTCTTGAGTAAATAATAAAACAAGTATGTATACGTAAACAAAGATCAGCTGACTGACATTTTATATCATTTTACACTAGTCTAAACAAGTAATATGTGTAAATTGGATTCAGAAATCGTGTCAATTTTAAATGACTATTCTAAAGTGGCTATACATCCCTCTAAGCAATAAATCCCTCTAATGATAATGTTAGTCAATTCGAATAAATATTTTGTTTCTAAACGCCCAATTATATTGACATATATTCTTTGGAACTGCCAATTCAAGTGAAGAGTTTTATTATTGGTAGGTTCCATATAAACATATCCTCAACGTATTAGAGTTCTGATGAAATATTTACTAAAATTAAAGACTCTGTCATGATAGAATTAAAAAGGTAAATTCATTTTACATTTCATTGTCAAAATGTCCATTTATAAATCCAAATCAAAGATGACAAGCTGTTTTCTCTACAGTGAAATGTGACAGGTTAAAATACAGAAATGCAGAGGTGCATATAAGAAGAAAAGTTGTCTACATATGTAATGTCAAATTTTCCATATGCAGAATCTACACATATCGTGTAATACATGGACGACATTTTAGCCGTGAAATACATGAGTAAACTACATATGCTAATTCATACATACATAATAACATAACATAATTTAAAGAAGTCTTGGTTTGTTTGTTTTGTGAAAAAATATATAAAATTCAATTTGTGTTAAAAATACATCCCTAAAATATTTCCATTTTTTATAAAACACAATATATATATAAAAAAAACATAGGCAAGTGTGTGATAGCAAAAATTATGAATCATAAGTGAAATGACAATTTTGACATTCACACATAAATACACATGGATTGTAAAAAAAGTGACAGCACATATGTAAAACCCATTTCGTCTGATAACGCCTTATCGTCTAAAAGGATAATAACTTTAAGGTGAGAATACATAAAACACTTTTTAGACTGGCTTAAGTCATTGGCATGGTAGAATCAAGGAGGTAAAGTCATGCAATCACATGTTTACAATTTTTTCAAAAATTATTCATTTGACATCATCTCATTGTCAAAATTTGTATTTATAAATCAGAGATGGCAACCTGTTTTTATGTAGTGAAATGTGTTAAGGTAAATTACAGAAAATGCAGAGATGGGTATGCTTATTTGATATAACTTTACCTTTTTAATTTTACCATGAATCATCGGCTATCTTCTTCGGAAATGGACAAAGGCCCGAAATCGAACTAATTCAACCTAAAACTCCTTTGTCGCTTTACGAAGAAGCCAGTCGATGATTTAAGCCAATCAAAAAAGCGTTTTATGTATTCTCACCTCTGGTATTGCGATTTTCTAACATACATTTTGAGTTATGCCATGTTTACGTTAGAACATTTTGTAGGGTTAACCTACTTTGAGAGGATTTATTTGAAGTAAAAATAATGAATATGACAATTTAAATCCAAACCCAGTGGGTTAACCCTCATATATATAAACGTACTATTACCGACATAAATTGTTAATATTAAGGTTTTCGAAATTCGGAAATTAACGGAATGTTTCGTTAGTAGCGATATTTGTCGGTAACTTAAAAAGAAGAAAGGAATCCCACTGCAGTAATGAACAAGGGATTATAGACCTGGTTTTCTTCAAAAATTTCAGGGAACTCTGGCAAGAGGCTGTATACTTTTGCCAATCGGAACCCTATACAAGATTTTATTAGTCATCTTTTAGTATCTCACAACTGCATAGCAATATTTGAATATCCTTTATTTTTTTGGTGTGGCGTTTGGGCGCCGCTAATGGTGATCTCACTTTCTTCTGTATCTATAGCTGTGTACGAATGTTTATTGTTAGATATTTTCATTTTCGTTATTTTTTTCAAAATGTACAAGACAGTTTTCACACAGATATATATGTATAAATATATTTTTTTGCAGATGTTTTATATTTTATTTTTACACATTATGGCGTTGTCGTTTCGTTTCGTTGGTGTGCGCGATCGATCTATACAACACATTCAAAAATTATATATATATTTCAAAATAGTTTTGATTTGAATGAAATGAGATTTACCTTGACTATATAGAAGACAAAAACTAAATGTTAATAGCATAAATAACTTCATTGTGGGTATTCCTTTCAAAATTTCTTTTTAGAATAAAACGGGTTTAACGACAAAAAACACGGCACAACACGGATACAGGAAACACTTAGTTTAGTTTTTTATTTCGTTTATTTTTTTTTAAATATTGGAAATTCCTTTCCTCTTTGTTTTTTTCGTGTGGTTATTTTGGAACACCAGGAGCTAACACCAGAGGAGCTATTTTTGTTTTTTTTTTGTTGTTGTTATTTTTCTATTCCTTTTTCATTCAAATCCAGAGCAATAGAATCGCAAAAAACGAGACCATAGCTACGATTGGGCTGGCTATTGGGTGTTTGTTTTGTGTGGTGGTGGTGATGATACCAACCGATTGTTTCAAAAAGTGTCCGACAACTGAGCGAATCCGTTGTGCGATCATTTTTTGGTTTGAGTGAGTGAGTAAGCGAGTGAGCGGTGTGATGTGGTGCCATACACAAAAATAACAACATTGTCGTTCCAATTGGTTGGCCCAAACCGTCTGCCGCCAGTCCATCCATGAGTGAGCGGAAAACAAAATAAAATAAAAAACACGACATCGGACATAAACATCAACTAAATTTAAATGGTTTTTGGTCGAAAGGAAGAAAAATATCATTTTGATATTGATAATGTTGTTGTTGTTGTTTTTTGCACTCTGCAATTAATAGCGGCGTTGGTGGTGGTTTATGTTTTGTACTCAAGGAGAGCGGTCGCATATGGAACGAACGAACGAGCCAACCAACCAACCATCAAACAAAAGAATGATACGCTTTAAGAAATATTGTTGGGCAGAATATAAGACCGGTCAATATCATGTGGCCAAAACACAACGGCTGCATACATGTATGCATCCTAGTGATGTTCGATAAGCAAATAATAATGAAAAAACCCGGTTCATGTTATTGCATGGTAGAAGAATATAGGTAGACGCATCGCCACAGCTGCTGGGACAATGAACTGTCAAACCAATGGTATCATAGCCCTACCTTGATATCGTTGTACCATGGATAAAACAATGATGTTGTCGGACACATAAATCGATTTTCGTTATTACAAGTCTCATTTAAATATAAACTGTCCGATAAGCAAAAGTTTACTGAATTCATGTTGCCATATTTTATTTAAATAATAAAAATTTATTTAAATGATAAAAAAAATGGATAACGCAAATCATTTATTTCATATTGAAAAATTGAATTATAAATTTATTTATTATTTTCAACCAAAAATGAGGATGCCATTGTGAAAAAAATGCTGTGACTAGCAGTTACTTTTACAAAAAGCTTGCCATATCTCTATACTTTAAAGGAAAGATGTAATAATGAGAATCCGATAATGTGAACTTATCCTTCACTATTCCTAAAGTAAGGGATAACAAAAGTGGACTAAAAAGGGAAAATATAAGAACGGGTCTATGAATAAAGAATTTTGTGTAACGTCAAAGCTGGGTTTAGTCACTTGTGTTTACATCATGGTAGAAGAATACAGGTAGATGCATCAACGCTTGGAAACATTGATATGTCAAAAAAATTTAAATGTCTTTTCAAATATAAGTAGATTTTTATATAGTTTTTATACAACTTTATTTAGAGGTTATTATAATACGCGTTTTTTTTTTTTTTTCAAAAAAAAAAATCCAATTTCGATAATTTTTCATTCAACATTTTCAATTCCAAACTCGGTTTGACAGTTCATTGTCCCAACGACCAACTGTATTCTTCTATCATGAGGCTTGTAAACATAGTCCAACCTTTTTAATAATAGTCAATGAATAAAGAATTTTATGTTTTGTGTCACGCCAAAACTAGGATTAATCATTTGTCTTTAGATACACATAATAACCCATTTAGACTAGTCATTTTAAATCGACTCGATTTCTAAATCCAAGTTTTAAATACTTGTTTAGACTATTTTAAAATTATATAGAATGACAGTCAGCTGATCTTTGTTTACGTATACATACGCGCTTTGTTATTTACTCAAGAATTTGCCAAAATAATTGGTTGAAAATTGAAAATGCAAACAATAGATGTTTTAACTCAATGTTGCTATGATGCTGAACAATCAGATGCTGAAGGATCAAAAAATATATTGATGAAAATTTTGATTTCGATAAAATCTCCGAATGAAGGACAGCATTTCAGCAACAACATTTGTAAGTAAGATTGTCATCCAGCATATTAGTCGCATTTTTATACGTTTAAGGCCAAGTAAAGTTTCGTCTTTTCGTACTTTTATAGAATATGCCACTCGCCACACGTAAGTATTTAAGACATAATCAATTATTTCAACAATAAAAATGTTGTATTGCTTGATAATTTGTACAAATGTATACTGAAAGCCGCTCCCAAAAGTTCAGTAAATGAGAGCGAAATGAGATACATTTTGACATTTGTATTACTGAGAGGTTGTAAATTCTTACTGCGAAAATTTCCCCTGTTTTAATTGGATATTCATGAATAATAGATATTTGTTGCAAACGGTATCTCTGTGCATGGAACCCTTTCTTTATTATTCATTATTTTTTGTAATGAAAATGTAAAAAATATAAAGTGCATCAAAATATTTTTGCTGTTAAGATTTGCGCCAATGTTGTTTTCATTGATCTTAAGCTGCTATCATGATAGAAGAATACAGGTAGATGCATCAACGCTTGGGAACATTGATATGTCAAACATTTTAAAATATTTTTTTTTTCAAAAATAAGTAAATTCTTATATATGTTTTTTATACGACATCAATCGGAGGTTGTTATGATATACATTTTTCAACAATTTTAACAAATTTGAATATTTTTTCAATCAAAATTATCAATTTTAAAATTGATTTAACACTTCATAGTTCCAGCAACTATGTCGATGCGACTATTTGTATTCCTCTACCATGGCTGATATCAGACGATAAGGGTTTTTATATATGTGCTGTCACTATTATTATCCATGCTTATTTTCGTGTGTATATCAAAATTAGCAATTTTACACATGGCTCATAATTCTTGCTATCACACATTTGCATATGTTTTTTATTTCTTTTTATTATATTGTGTTTTTTCTAAAAGAATATACTTTATGGATGTCTTATATATTTTCACACAACAAACAAACATTACTTTTTATTAAATTATTTTTTCTGATGAAAATAGTACTCTCTGTGATCGAAAAATTACATATGTACTTTACACATGTATTTCACAAGTGAAATGTCATCCATGTATCACACGATGTGTGCAAATTCTACGAATCGAAAATATGACACTACATATGTAAAACTCCCATCGTCTGATAGCAGCTCTACAAATGTTTTGTAAGGTGCTGTTTGTTTACTCTCTACAATCTTTTCTCTCTCGTGAGAGAAAATCTTATTTGTTTCTTAGTAACTTTTTACAGTAAGTAAATGTTACTGGAAAAGTAAACGAAGAAACCTAAGGTCGAGTTCATAGGAAAAGGGCTGTCAAATTCGATTTAGCAAAAGAGACTACCTCTGGTGTTTGCCATGGTATTAGAAAGAGCAAATGTAATTTTAAGTTTTATTGGAGGCAACCCTTTTGCGAAGACACTTGCGACTATAGAGTGTTTCGTTGAATTTATACTGGATTTTTTATGAAAATATCATGGTACAATAAGGAGGTAGAAGAGCTTCGTTAAACTGCAGAAAAATAGCCCTGAGGCTATGCCCGCTTCCTGTCAGAATTATTCAAAATTATATCCAACAAGCTGTTTTCATTTATTTGATTTTTTCTGTTCACTTTTAAAATGAAAAAAAAAAAAAAAAAAAATAGCGCGAAAGTTGAATGAAATGCCTGGATGTTCCCTCAAAAATATGATACTAAGTGTCCAATTTTTCAATTCCGTGGCAAACCTGTTTAATATCATTAATGCGCACCCCGCAATTTAAGATTCTTCCAATCATTGATTTTGAAAATATTTTGTTTTTATTTTTCAAAACAATAAATACATACACAAAATTGGCAGAAGTCGGGCACACTTAGAAAAAAAAAATGTAATCAGCTGTTAGCTCTACTTTACCTTTTTATTGTACCATGGAAAATACTAATGTTTATATATATATATATTTTTTTGTTTATTTTCGTTTTTTATTCCTTCCTCTACTCATGGATCAATAAGAAAGGTTGCTCAACTTCAAAGAAACCAGAAAAATGCAACTCTGTGCTGGAGTCTTATACTGTCGAATAGACTTTTATATATACAACAGTTGGTTTTGTTTATTTTTCATTTTTTTTTTAAACAAAACTCTTATACTTTGTAAACCCCGCGAAACAAGAATGGAATTTTGAAGTTATTCTACAAAATTGAATCTAAAATAGTGGGACAATACAGATTTGTATTTTTTATTTTTGCTTTATTAATTTGAAAATCTATTTTTTGTACGAAAATCGCATGGTAAAACTAAGAAGGTTAAGATATGCCATCATATGTCTACAATTTTTTCAAAATTATTTAATTGACAACGTTTGATTGTCAAAATATATATTTATAAATATACACAGAAATCGGAGATTTAAAATTTGTCAAGGTAAATTACAGAAAATGCAGAGATGGGTATGCTTATTTGCAGTGACTTTATCTTCTTAATTTTACAATGGAAAATCGGTAAAATTATTGCATTACGGTACGTTCTGTAACGTAACTTTGTGAAATATACTTTAAAATCCAAATTGGATATAAGAACCGGTTGCTCGGTTATTTCCCTTGCAACCCTAATGTATGAACCCAACCATGCATGCATATGCTGGCAACCCTAAACAAAGTAATAGGTTTGACATTAGGAATATGCAACACAAAAAGGAAGACATTTAAAATTGTATTTTTCTATTTACCAGACACTTGATATAAAAAGGCTAGATCTACTCATACGGATCGGTGGTAAGTATGTTTTTTATTTTTAGTTATTATTGTTACAATTTGAGTGAGAATAACGCATTCGGTCATGGTTTGTTTACATTTAACTTTCCCTCCTAGGCGGCGTTACACATGTGCGCCTTCTTGCCAGCCAGCCAGCCTGCTTGAGTGCTGGTTTTGGCTTAATCATCCACACATTAAGGTCATATATAAGGCCCCCGCGCACACACACACATACACATGCTTAGAAAGGCAAAAACCGTAAAGAGTTTTAAACTCTGTTTTGTTACTTCCACCCCTTTTATGAAAGATAGACAGCTAAGAGTAACTTTATATCTTGATGTGGAAATGTTTCAACTAAACTGGCCAAAGAATTAAAAAACCAAAAACAAAAAAAAATAAAATAAAACAATAGAGCGTGCCATCCATCCATTGCAATATACCGCGCGCCACCACACCGTGTAACGTACCGCACAGCTGCAAGGTGTTTTCAACCATGTCCATATGCAGCAATGTATAACCAGTCAACAACAACAACAACAGTGTCAGTTAGTCGGGG